GAATGGGGCTGCACTGTGGACAACTTTTGGAAAGGGACAGTCCTGAGGGCTGGACAAGCTAGGAGAGATGTTAACCTAAAGATCATCCCAAAGTGCTAAGCCAAGGAAGTGGTGACCCACAACTGTGCCTGAAGAATGAGGTGGTTAGAGGTCCAGAGAGGCAGGATCTTAACAGAGGATATAGAATCACAGAGTCTGACTTGACAGAGGGTGTTAATTATGGCTAGATATCATGGTTGGTAGTATCGAGGGAAGGGAGCAAGATGCTTGGCAGAGAGCTGTGAAGTCACATGACTCAGGAAAGAAGTCATGTGAACATGGAGAAAGAAAGGAGATATTTTACGTGAACAGCCCCTCCGAGTCTGCCACTCTCTCCTGCCCAAGGCTTAGGGAGCAAATCTGACCACCAGACACACAGGCTCAGTCTCCTGCTCATGTGGCTCTTTCTACATAAATTTAGGGACAATTGTAAGTGACTGGGTGTGGCTGTGGGAGGGAAAGAGCAGGAATGAGGTAGATGCCATGATAGTGTGCTCAGGCTTCCATCTCATAACTGATGGGGAGTCCTTGGAAACTTTAAATCAGTAGAGCAACATAATCAAGTTTATGTTTTAGGAATATCATTTATAGATAGTGTCTTAGAGTTTGGTTCCAAAACCCATCAGTTGGGTCAATTGCTTCATCTCTCTATGCTTCAATTTCCTCATCTATTAAGTAGGAATAATGATAGCTCCAAATGCATAGGATGGTTATAAAGATTAAATGAGATAATGTACATAAAAAGCTTAGTAAATAACTAGCCCGAACTGAGTACTAGTCAATAGCTGAAAATGATGATAATGATACAATTATTAGAGTGGAAAGAAACTGAAACTGGAGACAAGGAGATCAAATATGATTAGGCAAAAGATAGCAAAGGACTGAATTAAGGGGGATGTAAATGGGTGGATAGCTATGAAAGATACTGAAGAAATTGAATTGTTAGACTTTGAAATATAATGCTAACAAGACGGTGAAGATAAGCCATGCTTCCAGCCTGTGTGACTAAATGGATGGTGGTACACTTGAATGAGTAAGAAATACTGGAGGAAGTAGCAGTTTGGGGTGAAAAAAAAAAAGAACATAGTGAGGTTGTTTTTCAAGATATTGAGTGCTCTGCGATCAATTCGAACATGAAATACTGTGAAATCTAAACTACAGAAATATATTTGACCTTTATTATATATGGATGGGGATAGGAACACCTAAGGGAAGTATATAGAGTAAGAAGGACCAGAGAGTCATATATATATATATATATATATATGGAGGGAGGAGTCAAAGATATTGAGAAGGAGCTATTGGGTGAGATTAGTAACATGGGAGAGAAGGTAGAAGAGAGTTTCAAGCAATGTTACATCCTATAAGAAACTGAGAAGCAACCACCAGTCATCTGGATTGTTACTGTGACATTTATAAGGGTAGGTGGACTCCATGCCAGTGCTAGGCCCTGTGCTAGTGATCCAAAGTAAGACATAGTTACTGCCCTCAGGGTGTTCACACTGAAACCTGTAACAATGAGATTAGGGTGCTCAGCTGTGAAGGAGTTTAGGCATTGATGACCAGGGTTAAGTTGTCTGCCATGTGGGTTGAATGGGTTTCCTCTTCCAGCCTCAGTCCTTCATAGACATCCTCCCTTGACCAAATAGAATGACCTGCAGAAGAGAAGAGTGACTTCTTTGGTCAATAGCATAAGAATGGTGGGCCTAGGATGGCGAGTGGCTCAAGTGGTAGTGCCTGCTTAACAGGCCCCAGTACTGAAAAAAAAAAAAAAGAATGGTGGGCTTCCGTTGCTGGAACTTCTGAGTCACCTCCCATATATATCGCAATATTATGCTTCTTTTCATAGTACTTCCACTTTTGTAAAGAAAACCAAAAGACAACAGAGTATCTACTTGAAGCTACATTTGGTTCTTAATCTTAAAACAGCTGGTTCTTGTGGTGGTGGTAATGGAAGGTGGAGGTGAGCCTGCTCAAAGTGAGGAAAGAAACAGTAGAACGTGGTAGGAGAAAGGTGATAACATGTCAGGAGGAGTCAGATAAAGGACTAGGAGAGGGATGGTGGGTAGGGTTTGTTAGGCAGAGATATCAGGAACAGGAAGAGGGAAGGAAAAGGCAGCATTCCTGGCAGAAGGAATAGTAAAAGCAAAGGTGGAGAGTGAGAAGGACAAGCCAGGTTTGGGGACTGTGAATAGCCTTGCTGGATTGTACCTCACCATCCTAGCATGTGAACGGAGGGAGAGCCAACTGGAATGGAGACTTGAGGCAGATGATGGAGTTCTGAGGGTCTGGAGAGGGAGTTGGGCTTTTTCTTCTGTGGCTTGATGGCTTCTGGAAGAAACCATCAAAAGCTTTTCAGGAATTCAGGCTTGTCTGTCTCAGGCTTCTCCTGGAAGACCAAGGGCCCAAAGTGGCAGCCTGACATTCAATCTCCTTTGCCATGGTTGGGAAGTCAGGGCTGTAGCTGATTTCATTGGCCTGTTTTGCATTTATTATAGTGTGGCTTTTATAGTGTGTTAATTGAAATATTTCCAACTGCCAAAAACAATTACACTCAAATTGCCTTGTCAGTTCTTTTATTGCCAGATAAATGTTTTACAGACATATTTACAGGGGCAGTGTAACTGGATCTCGTTTTCTATTTAAGGCTGGTGGTCTGGGTTGGAATTGGCCCTCCAGTGTTCAGTTGTGGGCCAGAAGCTGTTGGACATTATGATGCTTCCATCCTGTTACCTTAAGAATCAGAGGCTCTTCAAAGGAAAGTTTTCTAGCTCATGTGGCTTAGCCTCAGAAAAGGGTTCCCATCACTGGAAACCTTGGCAACCTGGCAGAAATCTGAATCCTGCTGCCTTGCCTCCCAGCAACATTCCAACCCAAGCTGAGATGTGATTTTCTCTTTCCCTGGAATCCTTTCTCCTTTCCCCCCATCCAAGTCTTTCCCAAAGACTGTATCATTTTAAGAGCTGTGGGACCCCATCTAACTCCCTCACTTGCATTTGGGAAATCAAAGCCTAGAATCTTCCCCAAGATCAAAAAGATGGTCAGTGACAATGCTGGGAGCAGAGATCACTTTCCCATGTGCCATGCTGCCACCAGCGTTTTCCCTTTGGCTTGGATTCCTTTGTTGCCTTGACTCCTTCTTCAGTGCTCCAGGTCGACTTCTCCCAAGGACCCCCTCCCTCATATCTCTAACCACACTGATTTCCGTCTTGCTTGATCACCTGAAACACCTATTGGTTCTCTCTCTATATATATACTGCGGGATTTGTGTTTAGTGGAACATTTCACTGCCTCTGTCGTTGTTCTTCTCTTGCCTTTGTACGTGGTGTTTTCTCTTTCTGAAAAACATCTCCACCTAGACAATTCATCTTGTCCTTTGACGCCGAGCTAAGAAATGGCCTCCTATGGAACATTTCCTGAGCACTTCAGGCTGGGTGGATTCCCCTGTGCAGCCCTACAGTACCCTACCACAGAGGCAGGTTTCAAAGGAACATATACTAAGTGAGTGAGTGATGAACACTGATCACACTCACCTGTCCTCCATAGATCCTGAGAAAGCTGGGGTAGGGAATTTGTCTTTTTTTGCCTATGTTCCACTGCTTAGGTTAGTAACTGACACATAAATAGATGCTCCACAAGTGTCCATCAAGTTGAATTGAGCATGCTGCCTCTGTTAGTCAGCATTTTGTAACTATAACAAAAATACCTAAGACAGGCTACTTTTGAAGAAAAGTGTTTCATTATAGCTCACAGTTCTGGAGATTTAAGGGCATGGCTCCTGCATCAGCTTTGATGAGGACTTCATGGTGGTTGGCAGAACTTGTGCAGGAGAAAGGATCACATCTTGTACTAGGAAACAGAGAGAAGAGACACCAGGCTTGCCCCTTTTATAACCACCCTTTCTGAGAACTACCAAGGGGTCAGAGAATTAATTACCTTGCTCTCTTTGAAGGCTATGTCTTAATAACTCAAGAACTTCCCACTAGGCCCCACCTCTGAAAAGGTTCTATCATCCCCCAATACCACCACCCTGGGAACCAGACCTCCCAACACATGAATCTTTGAGGGACACTCAAACGATATCCAAACCGTAAAATTTTAGCTTGTTAGAATTGGAAGATCATCTTATCCAATCCTATACATTTTACTCACAAGGAAACTGAAGCCCAGAGAGGAAAAACTTTTTCCAGGGTCATGATCACTAATGGGTTGTGATGGCATTCATTCATTTATTCTGTAAGTACTTTGAGCACCTACTATGTTCTGAACATTGTTCTAGATGCTCGGGATACAGCAGTGTACAAAGCAAATAAAATATCTGGTTATAAGAAGTTTATATTTATCTCAAACAAGTGTTTATGATCATAATCTGCCTTTGAGATCCCCTTATGGGCCAGTACAGAGCTAAGCACTTAGAATATGCTTTAAAATATTTGATGAACTAGTTATAATTAAGAATGCCTAGTGCTATCTGAGCACCAGTAATCTTAGTTACTCGGGAGGCAGAGATCAAGACAACCATGATTCAAGGCTATCTCAGGCAAATAGTTGGTAAGACACTATCTCAAAAATACCCAACACAAAAAAAGTGCTGGTGGAGAGACTCAAGTGGTAGAATGCCTGTCTAGCAAGCATGCACCCTGAATTCAAACCCTAGTACCACCAAAAAAAAAAAAAAAGAGAAAGAATGACTAGTGCGAAGTTTACCTGATTGCTGTTCATCAGTTAGTCTCACTGATGCTAAAGCAGGGTTGCTTTAGCAACCTAGGTCAGAATCAGGACCTTCATGGCTGGGCTGATAAACACATGGTGCCACTGAGAGTGGCACAGAACTGTTTCTGAGACTTGGGAAAGCTCAATGACCTTTATCTATGAGGTTATTTGACAGGAGCTTTCCCATTATCCTGCTTATGAGAGTCAATTTGCTTATGACTTGCCTTGTGTTTCTCTTCTTCCTTCAGAGCATCAATGTGAGCAGAGGAGCCAGAAAGAGAGTAAGTGCTGAGACCATCACAGTCTCTTCCCAAGATGCTCATGTCACTTTTTTCTGTTGAAAATATTATCTATCTATCTATCTAGCTCATCTATCAGTTTATCTATCCACATTTTTTTAGAAAATTCAAATTTTAGAAAATTTTAGAAAATTCAAAGAAGCTAGAAAAACATTAAAATTACCCTTAAGCCTACCACCCTGGAATAACCTTTTAGTTAATATGTAATGTTAAATCCTCCCAGATATTTTTCTCTATATATATATATAAATTACATGTATTTGTTTTTAAGTGAAATCACACTGTATATATACTTTATAACCTGTTTTTCACAAAAAATATTTAGAGTATCTTCCATATTTAATAAATAAACTTTTATAGCATTGTTTGAAATTACTACATAATATTTAACCATATGTTCCTTTAGGCCATGCCATAATTTGTTCAACTGTGCCCCATTGTTGCTTATTTAAATGATTCCTCTTTTTCACTATAAATTATAACTAATCCTCTAACAAATATTCATATACCTAAGTCTTTGGGTATATCCTTGGTTATTGCCTTAACATGAATTCACACAGAAATTTGAGTCAAAGAATATAAACAGTTACTGGGCTTTGCTGAACCTTTCCAAATTGCTCTTTAGAAAGGTCATGCCATTTATGGATACCTGCTTTCCTACACCTCACCAACACTGACTGATAGTTTTGTTTGGTTGTTTGTTTTATAACTTGCCAGTTTTATAGTGAAAATTGCATAGCTTTTATTGCTAGTGTGGGTGAATATTTTTAATGTCATGGCCACTTTGGCAAGGTGTTTAACTGTCTATCAGGGAAGGTAAAATTTCTAGTCTTAGAGTTTTGGCTTAAGGTAAACAAGTATAAGGAGTATTATTTGAAGAGTAACTGTAAGGTGGCAAATTGGAAGGTAAGTATAACTTAAGAACAGAAGTATTTAAGGAACAGCTTTGTATCCTTTGTGGATATCTAAACCACTTTGCTTAAAGCCCTGCCTTTGACAGCTGGTTCTGATCTTTAACTTCTAGGCTTTAGGGAAGGCTTTAGGGAGAAGTGAGTTCTTTGGTCCCACTACTAGGGCTAAAGGCCCACTACAATGTTTCAACTAAGCTGTGACCCCCAGGGCAGAGGTGGTTGTGATCTTGAAGACAATGAGCACTCTGGCCTGAGCAATTCCTTTGGACTCTTCCATGAGTGGTCTTTTGTACTTTTTGTGTTCCATGTACAACAGGAAGAACTTGACTTCTGGGAGTATTTGTGAATGAAGGGGCTTGTTGCAGCATCCCTTGCTTATCCAGGTAAATCAGGCATTCCCAATACTCATGTGAGGTTTTTGTCTAGGATGAAGATTCAGGAACTGAAGTGGGAGAAGGGACAGATGAATGGTCCCAGTCCAAAGCCACAGTTAGACCCCCAGACCAGCTGGAACTGACTGATGCGGTGAGTGAGCAACCTTCTATCCTTGTTCCTTCCTCTTCCTCAAAAGTACAGCTTAGAAACTTGCATAGAGTCCCAGTGTGAGATGTCTACTGGTACCCTGGGTTGGGGGGTGGTGGAATCTAAGCTTTAAGGGAGGTTGGGGGAACTTCACACATGACCTCTTGGTATTTCTCTCCCTCAGGAGTTAAAGGAGGAGTTCACTCGGATCCTGACAGCCAACAATCCACATGCACCCCAGAATATTGTCAGGTACAGCTTCAAAGTAAGTCATCCCCTCCTAGGCAGGACCTCTCTACCTCCTTGGCAAGGCAGTGACTTGCCACATTGCAAAAGCCTCTTGGATATTCTAGAGGAGGTTTTTTTGGTTTGGTTTGGTTGTGGTACTGAGGTTTGAACTCAGGGCCTCATGCTTGCAAGGCAGACACTCTACTACTTGAGCCATTCCACCAGCCCTTTTTGGTTATTTTCGAGATAGGATCTCAAGAATTATTTGCCAGGGCTGGCATTGAGTGGTGATCCTCCTAATCTCTGCCTCCCAAATTGCTAGGATTACTGGTGTGAGCCATCAGCACCTGGCCTAGAGGAGATCATTTAAAAACTGAGATCCTTGGCCACAATCCTGGGATTTTGCATGGAGTTTTCAGAGATTATTGAAATTTCTTTATGAATATCACTGTAGCCTTGCTAATTGCAGAGTCTTGAGTACCCTGCAGTCACTTTTTTCTGTGTGTGCTTGGTACTGGAGATAGAACCCAGAACCTTGCCCATGCTAGGTAAGAGCTCTGAGCTATATCCCCAGCCCTTCAGAGTCACTTAAAAAAATCTCGAACTGAATCATTTGGTTAGAAAAATACTTTTCTAATATGTAGAACACATTTTTCACCCACACAAGCGATTGAATATTTAGAAGCTGTATTTTCCTGTAGCCAGACACCTGGTTGGCATATAGATTTACCTTTGGATGAGACGATGCTGGCCTCTCTCCCACCAGGGTCCTCCCATCTAAGAGGAAGCCCCAGGAGGCTCTGGAATCAACATCTTTTAACATCATGGCTAGGAAGGCAGGTGACCCTGCTAGGGCCTTCCATTAATGCCCATGGTGTGGGAAAGTTGTCACTTGATAGACACATCTATGGCATGTCTTTTTGGGAACAACACTGTTTTCAGCCATACAAGGTCAGCTCCTGTGAGTAAGGGCTAAGGAAAATTTCAGAGTACCATTTGAACTACAGCAGAGGTGATGTCTCTGTTTCTTATTTCATCTTCAGGCCTATTTGTTCTATGCTTACTATGTACCTATGTCAGAGCCTACATTAGATATTTCACAATAGGTTATCATATAACCCTCATGTTACTTTGATAGGGAACTATTATTGTCTTCATTTTATGGAAACCAAGGGTAAATTAGATAAAACAAGTACAAAAGTCACAGAGCCAGGATTCAAAATTATATTTGAACTAGTTTGACTCCAAAGCAACACTATATTGCTTCTTTAAATACAAATGTACACAATTTTGAATAGATAATAGAAACCCATACTACAGATTCAAAGAAGCTACAAATTCAAAGAAACAGTAAAAGATTGAAAAGATTTTTTAAAAAACAGTGAAAATCAAAACTTCCTCCATCCTATGTCCTTTTCCCTCAGACAAACAGTTTCTTTCTGACTAGAGGTGTGGCTTAAATGGTGAGTGCCTGTCTTACAGGCATGAAGCCCTGAGTTTAGACACCAGTACTCAGTACTGCAAAAAATAAAAGAAAAAAATCTTTCTCCTTTTTTTTGAGACAGATTTTAGGCCTGCACCACTATGCCAGTCTTCTTTGTTTTTAAAAACAGTTTTAAAGTATATAATTCAATGGGTTTTAGTTTATTCACAGATTGTACAGCTATTGTCATAATTTTAGGACATTTTTATTTGCCCTCCTAGCTGTCACTACTCAGTCCTCTATCTCTGTCTCTATAGATTTGCCTATTCTGGACATTTCATATGATGGAATCATACAATATGTGGTCTTTTGTGACTGGCTTTTTTCATTCAGCATAATGTTTTCAGTTCATCTATATTGTAGCATATGTCTGTACTTCACTTCTTTTTATTGCCAAAAAATATTCCATTGTTTGAATATACTGTTTTATTTATCTATTTGTCAGTTGATGGATGTTTGGATTGTTTCTGTTTTGGGCTATTATGAAAAATGCTATGAACATTTGTATATAAGACTTTGTGAATTTTTTCTTGAACACACTGCTTCTTAATCAGATTGTATAGTCAACCCCTCTACAAAGGGGTTGAAATAAATCTAGATGTGTTTTCTGAAATGTGATCATTCATGAGTTTTGCTAATGGCCTCACTTGAGCAGTCTGCAAATATCAGAGGGAAGCTACCTTACCCTACCTGATGTTATGCTGGTGTCTGGTACACCGTCTGGCACCAGAAAGAGGGCCCCTCTGGGACTCAGTGAGCTGCCCGTAGAGATGTGCTAAAGGTGACAAGTGGCATTGCCTTGTTGGAGTTAGTGATCTCCTCTTCCCCCTCCTTAAGTCAACTGCCAGCTGGGTAGCCCTGGGTTCCCAGGAAAGCTCACCTCATCCTGTCTTCCAACAGCCTCCTAGGCCTGCCCAGCATCAACCCACAGAGCTGATCTCCATCTCATTGGTCCTGAGAGATCCAAAAAATGTAGGACTCCGGAGCTGCTACTTTCTCTTGATGTACTGGAGAGGGGAGGCAGATGTTTTGATGTAGGCATGCATCCCCCTCCTTTCACAGAAGCAGTGGATTCTGACTTCCCTTCCTAAAGGAAGGAAGAGGAAATTACCAGTCAACTGCTGGGGACAGGATGGAGGTGAAGTCTCAAATAACAACTTGTTGCATAATTTATTCCCATGGTTACCTCTATCAACATAATAATAGTTACTATTTTAATGGGCATTGACATTGAGCATTTGTTATGTGTTAGGCACGTGTTAATAGATTTTTTCATTATTTTCTTACTTACACTATCTTCCAAATTAGATATCATTATTTTATTTGATAGATGAAGAAACTAGGGATTAGAGAAATTAAGACCAAAGTCATACAGATAGTAATGGGCAGACTAAGAATTCAAACCCAATTCGACCTGCCTCCAAAGACCATTCTCTTAAGCACTGCACTATCCCATCTCCCTACCCATCAGTTACTGAGTGAGGAAGGGCTTCATGGAGTCCATGGAAAGGTTTCCTCTGCTGTAAGCTTATCCCAGTGGGCATACAAATATAATTTTCCATATGAAAATAAGATTGGACAGAACTTTTTTCAAAAGAAAGAAAGGACCTCAGGTCTCCAAGTCAATTTTTATTGGTTGCTAGGATGCTAATCAATGAGGAGACATCTATAGGAACCAGACTAAAGTACTATGAAAGCAGGGATTGTGTCTGCATTTGCTCAGCTTTATATCCCTAGGAAATACTTGGCATATTGTGGCTGCTCAAAATTTATTTGTTGAAGAATGAATGAGCAAGGTTTCCCAGGCTTTAAACCTAACCCTGCTTCTCATTTGCTGTATAACCAGGAGAAGTGCCAAACAAAAACCTTCTCTGGATCTCTGTGGCCCTCTTGGATGGACCTAGTGGAGATGGGGATTTAATTGTCTCTGATGATCAGTCCAGCTCTGGCATCCACGAAGAGCAGTGGAGATAGGGCCATGCCAGGTGCATTTGATGATTATATCTGACCTGTCCAAGGTCTGTGGTAAGGCAGGTGAACCGGGATCCCTTGCCATAGACATGGGAGACAAGGTACTTGAACCACCAGTAGGCAAATGTGGAGCTGCTCTCGGTAGGAAGAAGAAGGTATTTAAAAATAAATCTCTAATGAGTACTTAAAAATACTTATTTCATTTGCCTCTTCTTTAAGTCAAAGTGCAGTAAAAAACTCCAAGTAGAAGATTTGGTGAGTTATATTTCCTTTAACAAACTGGACTGACTGCCTAGTTTTAGAGAATGAAAGCATTTTATTCTGAAACCAACTCTTTTGGGGACTCCTGGTCTGATTCAGCGTCCTCTCTTCTTAGGAAGGCACATATAAGCCTATTGGCTTTGTGAACCAACTGGCAGTTCACTTCAGCCAGGTGGGGAACCTGATTCCCAAAGACTCAGATGAAGGACGGCGGCAGAACTACCGCAATGAGTTAGTGGCAGGTAGGACTATGGGCCAGCCTGAGGCTGCAGCCCTGAACCCAGTCTCCGATTTCTGGTCTCTCTGAGGGGTGGAACTTTGCAAAGCTTCTACTTACATAGAGTTGCATAGCAAGCTGTCCTGAATAGGAGTAGAAACTCACCCATGATACTCAGGCCAAGAATCCTAGGACAAACAAGGTCTGAAAGGCAGGAACCAAGAAGGCCCTCCCTGCCAGGTAATGGGGGAACAGGCATTGACCTTGAGCTCATTAGCAATGTCCTACCCAAGGTTCCCAGGAGTCCATCAAGCAGGTAGTTTCAGAAACAGAAATCAATGAAGAAGAGGAAGAACCCAAGGAAGCAGAAACTGAACCTGGAAGTCAAACAGATATACCTGCAGCTGAGGTATGGATGGTGTTCTCTATCCCACCCCTTCCAGCACAAGTTTTGGAAAGAGGCTTTAGGAGTGATTTGGAGCAGAAAGAGGGAGGCTAAAGGGAAGAAGGTAGAGGCTGCAGGTGCCAATGCATCTGGCAGCATCCTCTCTCCCATCTCCATCGTAACCAATTTGGGCTTCCCCCTACTCCTGATCACCCATTACCTTCCTCTCACAGCTGAGTCCTGCTCCTTTGGATGTTTGTTTTCAGACAGCTGAAAAAGGGCCTGAAGAAGAGGAATTGATGGCTCCTAAGCAGCCCAAGGAACGAAAGCCCACTAACCAGTTTAACTTCAGTGACAGAGCGTCACAGACCTTCAACAACCCTCTCCGGGTACAGCCCCCCACTGCAGTTCCTTTTCTTGGAAGCCCTGTGCTGTGTATGAAAGGGAAGAAGCAGGCCTGACCTCAGTCTGAACAGCCCTCAGCTTGGCAGGGTAACAGGACAGACCACAGTTTATCTTTCCAAAGAGAGGTGGGGCACACCTTCAAGTCCCTGTAAGCCATACAGGCAGTTCAGGGGGAGTTAATAAGAAGATAGACCCCTCCTAAGTCCACTGAGAGGCTAAACCTTAAGCCAGGCTTTTAACAGGGAATAGAAACTGGAACCTGGGGAGAAGAGAGAACACCCCCAGGGCATAGGGGCCTAGGAACCAGTTCAACTGAAGTTGGTGATTTCTGTGGTAGACCAGCTGTAAAAAGATAGAAGGTTCCCTGACTTATGGTTCCTGAGAAACAGACAAGGGAACCTCACAGGGTTTTAGGTGAGAGACTCTCAAACACAAAGACAGTGTTCTATAGAGATGAATCTGTGATGGAGGGCAAGGTCTATAGGGTAAGTTTTTGGCAGCACCTCATCACTATGTGGTCCCTATGCTGACATTGGGTAACCTGGGTGATACATAATGGGCAGAGGGTGACTTCCCCTGGTGGAGCCAAAGACCCCAGGGTTAGGAGGAAGTCTTCTCAGGGTAAGGGACATTAGTCCCAGAGTCCATGGGAGGTTAGAGATAGATGGACACCTTGTAGATCTGTCCACCCCCACTTGGAATTTATCTTGGTTAAAATGGGCACATTGAAGCTTCACTGCCCTTGGTTTTTAGCTTGGGCTTCTTCTGAAGGAGGCCAGAATGGAAAGAATGTGGGCTTTGAATGCATTCTCCAATCCTTTGCCCAGGTTTTTCTTTATACTTTTCCAGCTATTTATCCCATCCCTTCCTCAACTCCAACCAAACAATTCTCCTAAAAATGTACCACTGGGTTAAGTGAGAAGGAGTTGAGGGCTTTCTGTGGGTTTCCTGTCATCTTTGTTTTCTAGGATCGAGAATGTCAAATGGAGCCTCCTCCCAGGGCAAACTTTTCAGCCACAGCCAATCAGGTAAGACCCTGGGGCAGCCTCACATACATTACTAACCCCCACTCCCATGTATCCTTGTCACATTTAGCAGCAAAAGAGACTGGCCTGGTTAAGGACTCCTCTGGTAATCTGCTTTGCTCTTCTACCTCATTGTCATAAACACCCAGTCCCTGAACATTGGGCATAAGACACAGTAGGTCCCCGCACAGTAAGTGTTGGACCAGCCACATGACCCTAGGACAGGGTTGGCCCAGCTGGAAACACACATGGCTTCTGGAACTTCCTTCCAGACTAGGGGAAAACAGTTGTTCCCATGGACTCTCTGGAGCCTGTGGCACCCTGTGGCTAACTCTGAGGTGTTAGCACTTTGACTCTGTCCTCTCAGAAGTCTACAGTATTCCTGTAGCCCCTCTTCCTTTCCCCTCCTGGATGACCAGGATGATTTGTGCAGGACTGGTGCTTAGAGACCTAAGCTCAGACTCCACTCTGTTGTTCCTACTATAAAATCCTGTGCAAAACATGCTTAAGTTTCTTTTTAATGCCTAAGTTTCTTTTTCTCATAAGAGAGGATGACAAGTTGCCTCACAGAGTCATTGGAATCGCTGAATGAGATAAATGCTGAAGTATTCTGCAGTATGGAATACTGGCCTATGGGTGAATTTTTAAATGTAAGGTGTGCCTGTTTGGCCTCCAGGTGGCAGTGACTGCCCAGTCTGGGGAGAACTCAATGTGATCTGTGCCATTTATCCAGCCCCAGATCCTTCCTGTTTACTCTGCTGCTGTCCTTGGGCTTTCTTTCCTTCAGGTCCATTTGCCATGAGTTCCCTTACCTTTTGTTTATCTCCTTCTAATGCTGAAGTAGACAGCCAGTGCTGTAGACACCCAGCCTGAGGCAGTATGTTTAACCCATCTCCATGAGGGAGAGACATTTTTAATTTTCAGTTTTCTAATTCAGGCTCTTATAAGTCACCAACAAAAAAAAATGTGCACTAGTCTGATGTTTGTTCATTTGTTTTGTCTAGTAGAGGTAGCAGGCTAGAAAAATGTTGATCTCTAGCTGAAGACTCATACACTGGGCTTCAGGGTGGATAAGCCTATCCCAGAGGTGGCCTAAGAACTCCTTCATCCCAGTTCCAGACACTGAATACATACTTACAATGGGCTGAGCAGAAGATGCTATGGAAGAATGGGACAGGGGTTAACCCAGCCAAATCTTCAAGCCCTAAAAGCCAAAGAGGAGCTGGCCAGGTGAAGGTTGTGTGCCCTGTGATGACCTTTCATCTTGCCCTTGCCTAGTGGGAAATTTATGATGCCTACGTAGAGGAACTTGAGAAGCAGGAAAAGACCAAAGAGAAAGAGAAGACAAGGACCCCAGTGGCTAAGAAAATGGGGAAGATGGCCATGAGGAAGCTGACATCCATGGAGTCCCAGGTTTGGTTGTAGTGCCCACAATTCTGTCACAGAATGTCTGAATTGTACCTTGGCTCCTGGGTCAACAAAAGCCTAACATTTTAGGAGGGCTTCACAAATACTTAAAAGGGGGGAGGGGATAGTGTTGAATAGTTCTTTTCTTTGGGGAAGATGTGAGGAGAGCTATAATTGCTGTTGATATTCCACACCTCCCCCCAATCTGATGTAGTTCTGAAGTCTAGCAGAGATTCAGGTTCATTGGCCTAGGGGGCTACAGAAGACATGAATTTCTTGAAAGCATTATATATCTGGGTAGAGCTGTGGAGTCTTCCTACAGTAGATGTGGGATGTCTGGGTAAGGCACTACCTCCCTGGAGTTTGGGGTGGGGGGAGAGAAGCTCTTTTGCTTTTAGTCCTTGAGTTTAATTGTGCTTGATACTTAAGGTGAATCTTCAGGGCCAGGATCTGTGTCAGAGATGATCCCAGCTACTATCAGTGACAGGCCAATAAATATGGCCACCTTGAGCTGGGTTTACCATGAGTAGGCATGTGGGAGTCATTGTAGCCATGTGGGGGTGTAGCCAGCATAGGTTTGGGGACCCACACCAGAGTACAGTGATGCAACTATAGGGAGTCTCTACAGGGAGGGTCATCACAGGAAGATGCCGAAGGGCTGCCTGTATCCCTTTAGCGAAAGAAATCTGGGTCAGGAGCCAGTTCCACTGTGGAGATCAGAATGGGTATGGCCTGCATCAAAAGAGGGCCACAGGAAGCTGGGGTTTGGTTTCAGCACCTTGGACAGTTCTCTGGGACGCTTTCTGCTCTATTCCAGAATAAAAACCAGATCAGTTAAAAGGAGTTCTGCTTCCTTTGTCTGAGGTGTGCCCACTTTTTCTCAATTCTCTGCTCCATGATCCCGATGATGTCACATTTAAGGGCAGGTTTGAGGGTCCCCTGCCATGGCTTAATAGAAACTGTTCCAATTATGTTCATTCAATCGCTGACCAAGTTCCTCAGTGCTTGGAACTCCAAGGTGAAAGACAGAGTCCATGCTCTGAGGCTGGCTCTGTGCAGACCCTTGGCTTCTCCTGCACCATACCCAGAAGTCAGGGCTCACGAGACGCTCCATCAGGATTTGGCTCTGGGCTCTGTGCTGGGACCCATGATCGCAGAAACCCCAACTACAATCATCACGACCCAGAAACCAGGAGGAAATTTTTCCCTGTGGCTAACACTGGAAACTAATCTTGGGTCTAATCTCTGCCAGAGTTGGTGTACAACAAAAACCTCAGGGAGGATAGACCCTGCCCCTCTATTACATTGGGATCTTTCAGCTTGACTGACAAATACAGACAAAATCCAGTCCTCTGGACCAAGAAGCCATGGTCAAGGCAGGACACTGAGGGTATAATGTATACTCATTCCCTAGTGAGTGCCTAGGCATGCAGTCTTTCTCCAAATTAATTGAGCTCTAACTGGGACAGGCTCTGTGGAATAGAGTGGGAATGGCAGTCACATTCCTCTCTGCCCAGGCCCAGTGCAGAAGCAGAATAACACTTTCTTCAAAGGCCTGTGTCTCCTTAGGTTAGTATAAAAGGCATATAGCTGGGTGCAGGGGCATGTGCCTGTCATTCCAAGCTATGTGGGAGGCTGAAATCAGTGATTAAGTGGATTGTGGTTCAAGGCCAGCCCAGCAATGGCAGGAAGCTTAAAATAGGAGGAACACAGTCCAGGCTGGCCTGTGCAAAAAGCAAGATCCTATCTCCAAAATAACCAGAGCCAGACTATAGTGGCTCACACCTGCAATACTTACTAGCTACTTGAGAGACTGAGATTGGGAGGATTGCAGTTTGAGGCCAGACCAGGTAAATATTTTGTGAGAACCCATCTCCCAAAATAAACATAGCAAAGTGGGCTAGAAATGTGGCTCAAGTGGTAGGTTGCCTGCTTTGCAAGCACAAAGTCCTGACTTCAAACCCCAATCCAATCAATCAATAAAATAACCAGAGCAAAAAAGGGGCAGTGCTGAACATGTGACTCAAGTGGTAGAGCACCTGCCTCCTAGGTGTGAAGCCCTGAGTTCAAACCCCAGTACCACCAAAACAAATACAAAAACAAAAAAACTCATGTTTTTATTTGAATAAGTTCAGATCTCAGTCTCATTAATGACGGGAGTTGGGGAAAGCACGCTCAGAGGCCATTACTTCAGTCAGAAACAAAAAAGATAATTTGGCTGCTCTGGTAGCATGGCATCTAGAACAAAGGGGCAATAGTCCATGGCACTCTTTTCTTGGAGTCCTGAGTCTCCAAGGACCAGGAGAAGGTGGTCAGGCTGAGGAGGGGCTGATTCTCTAAGTGAGACAAGAGCAGGGATGCTGTGGAGTCCACAGACCTGGGCTTACACCCTGGCCTTGACACTTACTAGGTTTTCCGGAACCTCATCTGTAAGGCTATCCTAATGATAGCTACTTTGCAAGATATATCTATATATATATTATAGAATATATAATATAATATAATATAATAATATATATCAGGTATAATTTTATACACATATGTATATAAAACCCCTAACACAGCTCTTGCCTGTGTGCCTATGACTGTTCAATAGGTAGTGGCTATTGTTATTAGGGTGCTATGGTGATGGAGCTATGGAGAGGTCACCTTAGGAAGTGTTGACTCTACAGAATGAGGCACACCAGTTCCTTGTGGTCAAAGGACAGAGTTAGGTCTATAGCTAGAAGGCCCAGGGAGGCAGGTGTCAGCTAATTGGCCATGTGAGTGCAGACAATGCTGCCTCACATGAGGAGAGTCAAGCCTGCCAGGAAGCTGCCATGAGATTGTGTTTTGGGTCAGGGGTTGGAGGAGCAGCTGGGACCAGATACACTCTGAGGGCTATGATTGTAAACCCCCACTATTTGTCCTCCTCAGTCCATTTTCTGTAGAAATTTGGAGTCAGTTTGAGATGTGGCAAAAGGTCTTCAAAGGGCCATTCCCCAGATGCAACTTTCTAAGCCTCCACCTCATGACTACACATTTCCCTTAGCACCACTTCTATACTCACACCAGGAAGCAGGTCAAATCAGATAACGTGTGCATTGTTGCATCTAATCCTCACAATGGCCCTATGAGACAGATGCTGTCATCTACCCTTCCTTTGTCACAAGGACTCTACGACTCAGAGAAGTTAAGTAACTTGCTGAAGGCAAGTTAACTAATCTATGGGATAGGACAGAAATGCAGGTCTGTAAACCAGGCATGATGATGCATGCCCATAATCCTAGCACTTGGGAGACTGAAGCAGGAGAATTTCAAGTTCGAGGCCAGTCTGGGCTACATAATGAGATCCTGTCTCAAAATAAAATAATATAAAATTTAAAAAGAAAAAAGAGATACTTACCTGGCAGGGGAGATACCATGATCACGAAGGTGGTTTTCCCAGGGCGAGGCTTATCCATTGTACTCTGGATGTGCTGACCCCTGAGATTTCCCCAAATGTGGGAAACTCGACTGCATAATTTGTGGTAGTGGGGGACTGCGTTCGCGCTCTCCCCTTTAAAAAAAAAAAAAAAAAGAAATGATCTGTGCGGCTCTAGAATCTATTCTCTCAAGTATTGCCTAGCGCTGCCACTTCCGGAAAAGCTGATCTTCAGGAACCACAAGACTGGCTCCTTGTATGCAAGGACACCCACTCAGCTGGTTCAATCCTTCCACCTGTCCTAAACTCTTTGGGACTTTCTTCCCAGCCCCAAACTCTGCTACTCTATTAGCTTCCCAAGTGGTTCATCTCATGGATTTATGGAATTTCACACAATGATACTCTTGCTTCTTGGTTTAAAATGAGTCATTTTCCCTGATGTCAAACTTCCTGCTTCCTCTTTGGTCTGGGCATTGGGCAAGGCCCTAGGATTAGTTTCCATTCTGCTCTGTAGTTTGTGGGTACAAGCATAGCTCTCCCCTCTTTGAGCCTCTATGATTTCTTCAACTTGTGACTAAATAAGAGAGTTGAACCAGAAGATCTCTGAGGCTTTAAGTGGGAATCTGTCATTCCCTGAGCTGGCGAAACCTCTATGTACCCCACCAAAGAAGCCTCTAATCAGTCCTCGTCTCTTTCCCCTCCAATAGAGCAAGGGGCTCTCTTTAATGCTTTATCTTGTGCTCAGGACATGCTTTTTCCAAAACAAGCTCAGAATGAAAAAACATGGCGCAGGATCTATGCAGGGCCAGATATGCCAGCTCAGACCCCTTATTCTGCCTGTGAGGGAGGGGTTCCTGAAGACAGTGGTGGGGTGAATTGGGCCTTGAGCCTTGTAGAGACACCATTATAGAGCTATCTGGGGTAGGCTATGTCAGGGCGGCATTGCTGAACCAATTGTAGGTCTGGCACTGGCGTATGACCTTACCAGATGCTGGCTGTGAAGACCTGTGGCTTCTGTATCTCCACAGAGTGATGATATCGCCAAAGTGTCCCAAGCTGCTAAAATTGTGGAGCGGATGGTCAACCAGAACACATACGATGATGTTGCTCAAGGTAAGATTTAAGGTGCTAGAATTGAAAATTCCTCATAAAAGGCTAGTATTGAGTGTCCCATGCTAGGTCCTATAGGTACAAGGGAAGAAAAAAAAAAACTCCCTCCCTCCTCTGAATGTTGTTCAGGAGACAAGATGTATGCAAGTCAACAATGAATGATGGCATAAGAAACAATGGGTGTAGTGATGAGATCTGACAGTAGTGTAGCACAACCGTCTGCCCATTAATGATCTAATGTAATTTTTCCCAGTGGTCCTAGGAAGCAGGCAGAACAGAGATGATTACCCTGATGTATACATGAGGCAGTGAAGCCAAGGCTCCCTGGCTGAGTGGCTGAGAGGACCCAAATCTAGGTCTTAAGCTTCCTCATTCTGTCTTCCATTCTCTACTCAGCTGGTATGATGCTAGAATGTACAGGATAAACAGAAACTGCTCTGGGGCTCCTCAAAAAGGAAAAAAAGAAAATAAGGGATGAGCAGGAGCCATCAAAGAAGGCTTCAGGGAAGGTGAGCTATATGCCAAGGGATAAGCAGAGTCTGAATAGGAGGATGGCAGAAGGGAGGATGAGCAGTGACTTGGCAGTGAGAAGGAGTAGGAACAGACTCTGGAGACAAGGAGCAGCAAACTCATTGACCCAAACAAGAGCTGTTGGGAAGTAGTGAGAGTTCAGGCTGGAGAGGTGATTGAAGCCAATTTGTAAAGGGTCTTGAATACCAGACAGTTCAGAGACACCAGCATCTGTCAGGTTGGGAACACAGCCCAGTGAAAGTAGGGCTGGAGGGGAGAATGTGATTGGGCAGAATCCAGAGACAAAGATAAAGGTATGGTTTAGAATGGGCCTCACTACAATTGATCATCCTGCATCATAGAGGATGAAGAAAAAAGGAAAGTTATGATAGTGAAAAGCAAGCACCAGCATTCATTGGGAATGGCCTGTGTGTCAGGCATGGTGCTGTGCAACTTAAACATATTTTATTTTCCCTGACAGATACACTGTGAATATCATTACTATCTCAAAAAAATCAGGGATGGGGGGGAACCACTGGGGATGTAGCTCAGTGGTTGTGTGTTTGCCCAGGGCTCTGGGTTCAATCTCCAGTACCACCAAAACAATTTTTTTTTTTTTTTTTGCAAAGCAGGCTCTCTACCACTTGAGCCACACCTCCAACCTTATTTGTTTGTGTTTGTTTGTTTGTTTGTTTGTTTTTTGAGACAAGGTCTCACTATGTAGCCCCAGGCTGACCTTGAACTCATTATGTAGCCCATACTGGCCTCATATTCTTGATCCTCCTGGCTCAGCCTCTGAGTGCTTGGATTACAGGCATATACTACCATGCATGGCAAAACTATCTGGCATTTGTATATGTATGTGTGTGTTGCTAGGGATCCAACCCACAGCTTCATACATGCTAAGGCAAGTGCTCTCCCACTAAGCTACCTCCATAGCCCATTATCTCCATTTTTTTTGTGCTGCTGGAATTTGAACTCAGGGCCTACACCTTGAGCCACTCCACTGCCAGCCCTTTTTTTTTTTCGACATAGAGTCCCACAGACTATTTTCCCAGGCTGGCTTTGAACTGTGATCCTCCTGATCTCTGCCTCCTGAATAGCTAGGATTACAGGTGTGAGCCATCAGCACCCAGCCCATTATCTCCATTTTATAGATGAGAAACTCAGGTTTGGATGTTGCTACTTGTTCAAAATCACAGCTAGTGGGAGCTATGAGTGGTGGAACCAGAACTCAAACACCAGCCCCTTGGATCTGTTGCCTAACCACTTTACCACTAGGCTACAGAGCTATTGAGTGGGAGGAGACATTTCAAATAAACATACTCAATAGATCTATCCTGGTGATTAATTAGTGATGGGAAGAAGAAAGAAATTGATTCAGAAATGCTTAAATCCTGGGGGCCTGGGAAATTCTGGTGTCTTTGAAAGTGCCAGGGAAACGGACTCCTTCCCATGGCATGAACAGCACATTCCCAAGTGACTTGTAGTTCCCTAAGAGGTTGCGCATTTATTTGGAGCAGCTGCCTCCCCAGAGTTGGCAACTCCTTGCTGCTGGCTGGTCTCCTTTGGTGACAGCCTAGGGCCCTTCTTGGTGACTTGATGCTCATTGCTCACCCATGGGACATAGAAACTAGGGCTGCCAAGACCAGCAGCCTAAACAAGCCCCCTCATTATCATTCAGGCAGGAAAACGACCTTGAGTGCTTTTCAAAGCTGTCAAAGTACACAGCAGCTGTGAATGAATTTGTCACTCACACAGCTTGGCTTCCTGAAATTCAGCCTCTGCAAGTGGCCCACCAAAAGGCTGCAAACCTGATTAATATCCATGGAGAATGTGGCCTTGTGAACTACTTTCATTTATAAGAACACAGTCACATAAAAATGCATTGAACTTTGATTTTTTTTTTTAATTGTATAGTCTTTTTCCTTTGGGAAAGTGTAATCATGAAGGAGAAGTGAAAATAGAGAATTGTTACCAATTAATCTCCTCTCTGAAATGAAATATTTTTAAAGATACCCCAAGCTCAGGAATCTCTGATGTGATCAAGGCTCACGCCTTTCTGACCATGCAAATCTTTTGTGTGTGTGGTGGGGGGACGGCAAAGGAGGCAGGACTGCTTTGAGTTTGAACTCAAAGCTTTGCACTTGTAAAGCAGGAGCTCTACTGTTCACTACTCAAATCTTTTTTGTTCCAAGATGTTTCTGAGATTTCAATGTAATGCCATAGCTTTAAGGTGTGGGGCATTGTGAGTAAGGCTGAGGCAAGGCCTGGCCATTGTCCTTGACCATGTTAGATGAGAGGGTTTGTTTTCTATTTGGTCACCCTTGGTTGGAAAGAAGACGAAGAACAATTTCACTTCTGTTGCTTTATTCCCTGCATTATTTTATTTCTTTCTTTCTTTGTGCAATGTTTTATTGAAAAGAAAAGGAAAGTAATAGGCACCACAAAAGAAAGAGCAGTGGACTCTGGTCAGGTAGCACAGAAGCCTCCCTTGTATTCTTTAAAGAGTCATTGGTTGTTTGCCATGTGGCTGTCCCTATACTAGGTGCTGGGGACCCAGAGATGAATGTAGCACACTTCCTGCCAAGAGCTGTATGGTAGGAAAGATAGACAAACGGACAGTGTGATGGATGTTTCAGTAAAGGAGTGGTAAGGCTGAAATAGAGGAAGAAATTAACTCTACTCAAGAGAAAACAAGCCAGTGCAGTAGTGTGCTCCTACAGTCCTGGCTACTTGGGAGGTTGAGGAAGGAGGATCCCTTGAGCCCAAGAGTTCAAGACCAGCCTGGGCAGCATAGCAAGACCCTATTTCAAAAAGAAACAAGGAAAGAAAAGGAGAGGATAAAGGAAAAAGGAAAAAGAAAAGAACTAGGTGTTGGCAACTCACACCTGTAATCCTAGCTACTCAGGGGGCAGAGATCAGGAGGATCGCAGGTCGAAGACAACCAGCAAATAGTTTGTGAGACTATATCTTGAAGAAAACCCATCACAAAAAAAAAGACTGGTAGAGTTGCTCAAGGATTAGACCTAAGTTCAAACCCCAGTACCACAAAAGAGAGAGAGAGAGGAGAGAGAGAGAGAGAGAGAG